TATGGGAAATGAAATGAATGGTGTTAACACTCGAAAAAAGTTCATCAGAAGCAAGTAATGTCATGGCATTGTAGTCTCTTACACATTCATAATAACTCATGAGTGATTGTTATATACAGTTGATTTTTTCCTTTTGTGGATGCAAATCAGGGAAAGTGTATTCATGTAAATATGTTTCTTTACTAATAATAATAAGGTAGTAGTAACTTAAATGTACTCAATTTCTTTGTTGTTGGCATCACGGAAACTATTGTTTTACTATAAAATTGTTTTGATTAGTCGTATTTATACATACAAAAATTTCAAGAGCAACAAAAGAGACCTAATTTGGTGCATCTTGGTTCTAGCTAGGAACTACTGCAGAAACTTTCCTCCTAGGCTTAAGTTTCTTGACTTGAGAGCAGTTGGTGGTCACAGAGGTGTTATTCGATGTTTCTGCGACACTTTTGCGCAGTTATCGTCTTTGTCTCTTCTTTACATTGTCTTGAATCTCGCTATGCCATTCCAACAACCCAACCTCTCCTCCATTGGTTGAATCAGTTTCACAGGCATTCTCATTCTCTAGTCTACATACATCTCCTGAGCATCGCTCTAATCCTTTTCTTCGTCTCTTTGGTTGTCTCTCTATAGCAGCAGAAGATGTTTCGCTCTCGCATTCTGCATCTGATTTCTTCGGTCTGCATCAAGAGAAAAGGTGAATTTAGATTCACAAAAGACAGGGTGTGAATGTGTGAGAGGAATATTCGATTAACTTACCTTGCTTTGCGTTTCTTCTTCTGGGTAACAACTTCGGGTTCTGGCTCAAGAGACATCTCGGGTAGTGCCAAAAAATCGTCTGCGGCAAGAGCAGGACGCTCTGATTCCCGATCAACAAAATTACCTACAATAGCTTCTCTTCGTAACCTATTAGCTTCTTGTTTAAGAGGCACTTGGTGAGGATATAAACTCTTCCATCTCCTACGGCACTGACTGTCAGTACGACAAGACATATGTGAAGCGACTTTGGACCAACTATATCCGTTTTCTTTAATTGCTTCTCTCAACTTTGCATCCTCTTCCTTGGTCCACTTCCCGAAATTTATTTTGGGATCTAAACAGTTTACCCATCTCTCTCGACACTGAACCTGGGTCCGTCCAGGAACAAACTGTTCAATTTTATGCCAGTTTTTAGCTCCAAAGAGTGTCACAGCTACTTTCACACGTTTGTCTTCCTCTGAGTTAAATTTTCCAACCCTTTTTCTGGTAGGGTGCAGCGTCTTTTGCCATCTGCAAGAATAGAGAAGAGGGGAATAAGATAAACCATTCAAT